AGCTGCTTTTGTAAAAGCCAGTCATGTAATAGCCCTCCTGTTTGCATTCACTCCAACCCTTCTGTTCGAACGAATAGGTCACATTTTCATCGTAACAGTGTTCATAACTGTTGGGGTGATTCTGGGGATGGCAGCATTGTCCCTCGTCAATGTCCTGTAAGAATGCAGGTGGTCCCCTGTCCAATTCCAGGCCGTTTAAGTAGTAACCAGTTGGACACAGCGCCCAGACATTGTAACTAAAAAACAATAGAAAATTTCGTGGAATAAATATCAGCAAAGAAAAAATTATGCTCTCACGGGATAAAGTAACCATTAAGACTTTGGAAAACTAGAAAAAGAATATTTGGATCCTTCACAGTGAAATTAATGACTTTGATGACAGAGAAACAGAAAATGCAGCTACAAATGATTCCAATAATCCATCCACGCATTAACAATGGACCTCTTAAGCTTGGGCGTTTTGTTTTGAATTTCATCACAGAATTGTGATCTATATTCATCTAAAAATTATACATACATATAAGCGCGACTATTTAAAAATGTGAAAGAAAAAATTCTCAAGAGTATTATCACATGGTCTGAAATGGAGTAAGAAACCACCCAAGCTAAAACGGACCATTAGATTGTGAACTTATAGTACTAGTCTCTAAGTCGTTCATAACTTTATCTAAATCCTCCTCACAGACACACACAAAAAAGGAAAAGTGGCCGCCATTCTGTTAAAAACTGCACACTGCTATAGGCTACTCACTATCAGTACAAAAGAGTAGACAGAGAGTGGCATAGCCAATAAGAGTATGACATGTGTGATAGAACGTGGGTAGATTGATACCAATATATAGTATAAATATAAATTATAAATGTATAAATTTCCAATGGCTTAAGTTTTGATCATGCAACGTTTTCTTGTGCTTCGCCATCAGTGATCTTCATTTTTGTAATAACTCACCCATCCAATGTAGGTTGCCAGTTTGCATTTGAGCAGGTTGCAGGCTGATTGGCATAACCGGGTTCCGTTGCTGAGCAGCATTTTCCATATTCGATGCGCCCAACTCTTTCATCTCCATAACTTCGTTCGCTCCTCCATAATCCTCTGAGATATGTGTTATCTTTGGGACACTTGGACCATCCTATCCTGTCCAGGCTAGCTCCCCAGTCAGCCTGCTCACAACTGTAGCTCGTGACAGGCTGGAACCTCAGCAGCACACTGATAAGTTGAATGGCCAACACAAACCACATCTTGCTAGAAAACGAAATTGCCGATAACATGAAATTAACCTTTCTTGTCTTTGTTCTTAAATGTGCTGGATAACCATTAACACAACTCGAATATGGTGTCTGCTAGAATGACCCTATTGTAAAGATGTAACCGAACCGTCAAACTGATACTGTATTCACAAGATATTTAGAAGATATTTAAAACTTAAAGTTTTTTATAGTCTTTGATTTCAGAATCAAATGAATTTCCAAATAATGGATGTAACCAAAGCAACATCTGTAAGAGCTTGCAATAAAAGATAAAAGTGAAGTCAATTTGCGACTATATAGGCCAAACAATGTTTTTTCTCTGGAGATGGCAGAGTCTTGTTCAGTAGCTATCCCTCCTTTAAAGGACTGGCACGTGAAATGTGTCGCAAATATTTCACAAGAATAAATTAAAGAACAAGCCAAACGAAGTAACACAAATTACGATGCGGAAACGTTTGGAAAGAATTTCCCACACGTGAGCAGTGAAATTACAATTCGAAATAATGAGTTTTTTTTATTGTCATAGCAGGCTTGTCAGGTATTCGCTTTTTATTCCATGTACTGCCGCATGCTTAATGACCAAGATAAAATCTTGTAAAATTGGTCTATGAAGGCAACTACCATATATGTCAATGGAAAAGGAATAAAAAAGTTAAACTCAGCACTTGTATAACATTATTCTTGATAATTTATTTAAGCCCTGTTCTTGATATATATTACTGCATTGTAGTGATTGCCAAACTATGGATGATATATTACTAGTCAGTTTTAACTTGTTCATGACGTTATTAAAATATTGGATACTCATAGACTGAAAAACACAAGTATTAAGGATGGCAACATTGTAGAAAAACTGGGGATTGATTACTTTGTAACGGAAATGATCTTAAAGTGCCACTGAAACGAAATTTTCGTATGTGAGATTTTTGCTTAGTAATAAAGTTTCAACCTTACTTGGAAACACTGCGGACTTTTTTTTCGCATACGGTAAGCGAAAACTGCTTTTTCAGCGGTTCGAAGTTGGCTGGTCAAGCCCAAAATTGGCGGCCGTCTTGGCGCGGCCAAAACAGCTTAGTGACGTCACTGGTTGTATTACTCTCATGCCGCGCTGAAAATTTAGAGTGATTATGGGAGAAGAGAATACTGTTCGAAACCCCCCCCAAAAACATCTTAAGGACATCTCAGAGCTGTAAAGCAGATAATAACAGTAGCCTTAGACAAGAAGAGGTGGAGAGTCGATCCTGGGGCTTTT